CCGGAAATAGTCAACCAGCGTCAAAACGGTCGGCGAGGAAGTGTGGTCTGTGGTGAATTCTGGCAACTAACTCAGAATATATGCATACATATTCAGTGGAATTAAGCAATACGGCAATATCTTCACAGATTGGAGGGGAATATTAGCGGTAAAGAGATGTTTCTTATAATTCATAATTAGGCATAATTTATACAGCCACGTCGTAGTTATGGTAACACAGATAACACGCGATTTAAACTACTGGGTAGGCGTTGCGAAGTATTTTGGCACACACACACACACACAATCACGCGCAAACTTCGGGGATGTGGATTTGCGATATGGCATTGCAGTACAGTTGGTGCCGTCAGAGCTTTGATCAAGATACTCACCTTGATTACCGTCTCGTATAAAAGGGAGTCACGCCACACACTGTGGTGGCAACAGAGGCACACCGAACAAACCATGAAGCCCGGAGACCAGGCTCCCGAATTTTCTGGCGTCGCTATTATCAAAAACGAGATCAAAAATATTCACATCAATGACTACAGAGGAAAGTACTGTATTCTCTTTTTCTACCCTCTCGATTTGTAAGTCCATTTGCATTTTTCGATTGCGAAATTTGTAATTTAACTTAATTAGCAGCAGATTTGTTTTTCAAAGCTAAGACATCCAGCGAAGACCTAGTTTAGATGGTTCCTTTTGTAAGCACAAAGAGTACTGAATAACGATACAAACCAACACTGCTTTTATTGGTACACCACGATGTGAATAATTCTGTTCGATATATCACCACTTGGGTCACCACGAAATCCAAATCCGTTGACTACCCACACTTCCTACTTGTACTGCGGCACACTTCTCTTTAGTTGCCGATTGCACTATTGACAAATACAATAAGTTTTGAATGTAGAAACATTTCACGTTTATATCTACCACGTTAGACTCACCCGTTAGTAATCTAATTCTCCTCTGCTAATTTACTGTGACGGATTCTAATACGGTGGTAGTGATTTCCGTCATCGCAGGAGAAAGAAAGCGACTTTAACAAACCATCATCAATCCATGGAGTCTGAGTCTACCACTCAGGCTAGAGGGGTGTTGGGCCGCTCACCGGCCACCTTGTTGCCTCATTTAACTGGGCCAAATTTACAACTGCTCGCTTAGCATTAGTTCAGAGAACCCACCTATTCGAGCTCAGCCCGTGTTTTTGTCTCTAGTCACCACACGAGGTGGACAACATGTCCCTTCTTCTTTCATGTATGGCGCTAAGATGAACTTTTCACTTCTCCCTCCAGCACTTTTGTGTGTCCCACTGAGATTCTGGCATTCAACGACCGCCTAGATGAATTCAGAAAGATTGGCTGTGAAGTTGTTGCCTGTTCCACGGATTCCCACTTCTCCCATTTAGCTTGGTGCAACTTGGAGCGTGAGAAGGGAGGTCTAGGCAAACTCGACCTGCCCCTACTCGCCGACAAGAGCATGAACATAGCTCACAACTACGGTGTTCTTGACAGAAAATCTGGCACTGCTTTCAGGTGAGCAGCACGCTTTGCTTCCTGCCAAATCATCACGTCTCACCAACAATCTCTCTCTAATTTCAGCACTAATTTATTTAGCACATGCAAACTAATAGGCAATGCGGTCATCAAATCTGCTTAAATTACCGCGCCTTGGCTGCGAACTCATGAGTTCTTTCACAATTTTAAAAAGCCCAGTGCAGCACTAAAGGAGCCCCTAAAGTCGACAACTCTTGCAGAGCGAGGAGTCGATTTCTGCGAAGAAAGGTTCCACGTGGCACTACAGCTTGTCTTTCTCAAATAAGTCATAATTCATCGGCAATCAAAGCAACTTGACAGACAACTCGTTAGTGACCTTCGCAGTTGTTAAATAAGCCCGAGATTGACGAATGAGTTGGATTGGTTCGGCACATGACATCCAAACAGTTACGCTGTTTACTTTTTAAATTGCCTGTTAGTTCTGTTTGGCAATACAAGCTCAGCAGAAGGTGCTTGAGAAAGGCGTGCACTTTTCTGCTGTTTTGCTTGGATCCTTTTAAAACATCGTAACACAGCGTAGCAAGGGTCAAAGCCTAAGCTATCACATGGCTGAGGTGCAGTGGCTCTATGCACATCTTCCATCAAACACCCACCACGATTAGAAGAGAAATTGGCAGTGTGCTTTGCATTAACACAACCATCTAGCTTGTGCACGATAACGCTAGCTTACTCCATTTTATTTTACAGGGGTCTCTTTATCATAAGCCCAGATGGCAAGATTCGAAGCATGCTGATCAACGACAACCAGGTTGGTAGGTCTGTGGACGAAACTCTTCGTCTTGTGGAAGCTTTCAAGTTCACTGACGAGCACGGAGAAGTTTGTCCAGCCAACTGGCGTCCCGGCAAAAAGGCCATCAAGGTGCCACAGTGAACCCCTTAACCAATGTTTCCTACCCAATTGCGATTTTTTCAGGAAATAAATCGCTCTCTATTAGTCATTGGCTCCTCTAAGCATTTCTTGGGTCAGACTGTGTGGCGTGCGTTAGTCAGATCCATTTAGCATTTTTAATGACACAGCTACGATTGTGAATACCGTATAATTTGGTTCCACTTCTTGCGAATTCTTATATCAGTAAAGAAAGTTTAGTCAGCCAAATGATCAATGAATTCTGTAAAATATTAAGGAGTTGCATGTATCTCACAAAAAAATCAGCTTCGAAAAATTGAAATTAATCTGTTCGCTCTCAATCATCATCGAAAAAAAAGAGCTGTCACTTCCTGCAAAAACTAGCTCTCTAGGAAGCGAGGAATATAAAATCACACTCAAGGAACGAAGACGAGTAAAACGGTGCGTGCAAATGAGTCCGTTTTTAAATTCCAGTGAAGCTGCTATCGTTCTGCCACGACACATTAGAGTGATGGATTTGGAACTTTCTGGGTGGTGTACTAACGAAGGCAGCATTACCAACCACACGATACCAAAAACGAGGACTGGTGACTGACATTCGCGTGGTGGTTGTCGAGGTCACAACTTGATGACGATGCCGAACCAAAAGCCTCACACACACATACTCAGGATTATGCTTGTGTTCTCCTCCCATTCGTCACCGATTTTGTACACCAACAAAAATTGTCGGTAAGTGCCATCAAATTGACGTGGCTGATCAAAAGCCCGCTTAATGTCAACCATCATCGCACTGTCCACAGCACCTGAGTCCTCACGAAGTCAATCTTGTTAACACCTGTTGAGGTCACTTCGACAACCCACTGCGAGGTCCTTCTGTTGAACACACAAACACAGCGGTGACAACCAGGTAAATGAGGTGTGACATCAGCAACTCAACAAAGTGGTGCTGTTCAATGCAGTCAGCTGAATTGTCTGGCATTCTCCTCAGTTTCAAAACCTTCTCTCTTCTCTCGTCACAAGCGGAAATCATTACACAATTTTCGCCTACCCGTTTCAAACAGCACATTCACTGATTCCCACAGTGTGAACATCCCTCAGAGGCACTTCAAACAGTTTTATGCATTCGCCAATCCCTCCAGCATTTCCATTACCAATGCCGAGTGGCGCTTCTTCGATTTCGGACCGAGAACATCTTCGTGGATATTTGTTAGTGTTGCGTGTTAATCTGACAGCAAGTGGACCGTGTGTTGGTTTATGCAACAAGTTTCATTCTGTAACTGGCATCCGTGTCGATTTCACGAAAATTCAATATGTCTCGAGAAACTATCAGTGATGTTATCAAACATGGATGAATACACTTGCAAAAAACAACTGCAGATGTTCAATTAGTGGAACAACAAAGAACATCAACTCTACCACAAACGCATACAGGATTTATGTGCTTGCATACAGAGCTGCGGTCGTTCAGTGAAAATGACTTGCGAGGCAAAACGCCTTTAGCATAAATCAGTTGTCTTACCAAACAATGGTGTCACTTGTGGACTCGATTCGCCACTTCGAATCTCTGGCGAATCTTGATCATGAAGAGCACCCGAAGTCGCTGAATCACCAAAGACAACCATGGCTGCGTCGTGTGTCCTCTTCTTCTCCGACTTCGGGGGAAGCTGAGGAACCGAACCTAGAACTATGAACATTCAGGTGTACTTAAACGTCTACGTCAGGTGAAGTACTTCAAACAGACTGACCACGGATCTATTGTTTGTATGTTAACATTATTCTTCTTCTCAAATCACCACTGCCTTTGATTAAATTGTTCTGCATGCTTCCGAGCGAAGTAAGTCATTTAAAGCCCACTTTTTGAGATACACAATTAAAGGTATTCATGACTGCTTCGAAAGAATCAAGTTTCTACACTCTATCGCACCTGAAAACGTCTAGCGCGTATTCGAGAATCAAGGAAACATTGGTGAGTTCTTATGATTTCGCTACCTGACCATTTAAGATATACTGCCTCATATCTTTTCATCCAACAGCGCCGCCTTTCTAAAATTCCGAGAGACATAAACCAATTGAGTGGAAAGGGAGCGCAACAAGTTGGGCGTTACCCCTTGACTCCTAAATTGCTGCGCTAAGAAAAACAATCTTGCCTGGGTAAATTAATCTACATGGGCGCGTCACTAGCGGAGTTACCAACTTTGAAGACCATAAAGCCAATACATTCACGGGACCCCTTTGAGTGTCTACTGCAGCTAGTAGCACTACCCCTGAGATCCCCCCCCCCCCCACCCACACACACAACGTCACATCACCCGGTAATCCCACCGAGCGCAGAGCACTGCCTAACTCGGAGGGCCACGTGCGGATGTCATTATCGCGGAGCCATCTGTTTAGTCTGTTTTGCAGTCATCCACCACCCACCGTCCGTTGTATTTCAACCTGGAATAGACACTATCGTCGCAAACCGCTTCTACTGCAAGTAATTTTGAGTTGAATGCAATCGCAATACTCGTACGCTCTTTACACGAGGTTCTGTTTGTAGTTTTTGACTTCCACATGTTCTCCCACTATATGGGAAGGGAATTCTTGGCGATAGCTTATGGTCGTCCGTTGGGGGGGTGCACCCAGTGGGTCGGTCATGTTGAGACTTCACAGTCTTCAGGCTGCATCATCGGGAACACCTCCGTGTCTAGAAATCCATGATAGCTCTTAAGATTTGCCTTGTCTGACTTTTCCTGAATTATACACCAGGAACGATTTCGCGAAAAAACAGCCTTTGACTTAACACCAAATAAGCCAACTGGTACCTGCGCCTATGTCAGACGCCCCACAACCCACTGAATGAATTACTCTACCCCTTGCAAGTGGAGCCCGACAAGAGCTACAATCTAATTCGGGAATTAAGCCGTCATACCCCGCCACCCAATCTTCGGGAAATGAAATTGCCTTAGTGATCTGCGGTCTTATTGGGCACAGATTGTCGGTACCGTTCAGCGGAAATTTACTCTCCCTTGAGCCTTCATTTTGGACCCACTTCCGCATCAACATACTTTGTTTACATTTCTGATGGACGTTGGCTAATAGCACCTACATTATACCGGCCTTCATGTCGGGCTGGTTTAAGTTAACTATGGCGGTTTGGGAACTTGACAAACGTCGTGGTTCGCCACTGCATTTATCTGAAGGCGGTGTTTGCAAATAGCTCCAACAGGACACGAAAAAGCACTGACAACTGACAAAATTAAAGCCACGCCACGCACGCCTAATTAGCTCTCACAAAACAAGTCAAGATGCGTGTGTGTGTGTGTGTTAGAGCCAATAATATACTGTGTCACCAAGGTCGTCCACAACGCGCACGAAAAGTGTAGGCAGCTAGAGGTTTTAAGGTGAAATGAGCTAGCCAATCAAGGCGGAGTAGGTGACTTCGGTTAAAAACAAGACTGCAGAACGCGTTCGCGCTATTGATTCGGAGTGTCAGTTGCAGGATGGCTACGCTTGGTAAGCCCGCGCCTACGTTCACGTGCAAAGCCGTTATCAACGGTGAGATCAAGGAAATCTCCTTGTCGGATTATCACGGGAAATATGTGATCTTGTTCTTCTACCCTATGGACTTGTGAGCAGGAATCCGTTAATCAGTCCTGGAAATGCGTGTTGAGACTTATTGAGTCCTTCTTTTTTAGCACCTTCGTTTGTCCAACCGAGATCATCGCCTTCAATGATCGTGCTGATGAGTTCCGCAAGCATGGATGTGAACTCCTTGCCTGCTCGACTGACTCTGTTTACACCCACTTGGCATGGTGCAATACGAGCCGAAAGGAGGGTGGCATTCAGGGCATGAAGATCCCCATTATCGCTGACAAGAACCACTCAATTTCTCGCGACTATGGAGTCCTCATTGAGGAGCAAGGTATTGCGTATCGTGGGCTCTTTATTATCGATGGCAAGGGCATTTTGCGCCAAATTACCATTAACGATCTGCCCGTTGGCCGCTCTGTGGACGAGGCCTTGCGTCTCGTGGACGCCTTCCGCTTTACGGACGAGCATGGCGAGGTCTGCCCCGCGAACTGGCGTCCCGGGTCTAAGGCCTTCAAACCAACTGCCGGTGACTTGAAGTCGTTCATGAGCGATGGCGCCCAGTAGATAATGCGCTTTGTTTCTATAATTTCCTAACACCTTAAGGATTATTAATACACGTTTTCTCAAGTTTTGTGTTTTTGCTTTAAAGAGTGCAAACGAGCAGGTTGTGGTGGATGTGCTTTGGGGCGCTCCGTCGGGCACAAAAACCCGAGCGCAGTTTGCGTTCACCCAAATCGACTGGTGGCCTGTCGCGGGTTTGGTGCCTTCTAGCTCGGTCTGTGGATTGTCTAGTTTATCGGAAGGCGGAGGTGGGCCAAACGAGTGGCATGCATCTGACTCGGCTTGCAGCTGTGAGAGATCAAGAGTTTGTGGGGCGAAAATTAGCAACGGGTATGCCGGGTCCAATTTGTTTGGTTCATTAAACACCTCGCCTAGGGCGCAGGAGTGGTAATTGGAAGGCCCGACGACAGGTGGTTGGGCGTCACCCCGAAAAGCCTGCATGGCTTCCCGATGCATTTAAACGTGTGTGAGGCTTGGTTACCGTGAGACAGTTAAAAAGGTGAATGACAAGATGGGGGCTAGTTAGAGGAGGTTGGTGTGATAAAATTAAAACGCTACTGGATGAAGCTGCGCACTTTGGACAGCTACCATCAGTCGTTCAGCTTTAAATTCTCTATTGGAGATGCGTCACGGAGTGGCATAGATTCAAGTAGCAGTTTCCAGGGTTGGGTTGTAGCCGTTTACGTTCCCTATTTTTCGTTAATGAAGACTTTAGAAATCGGTGGGGCCATACTCCCAAATTTCGATAATTTAGGGCCGCCTCTGAGTGCCAGCTTAAATTTGATCACCATTCTGGGAAAACAGCATCTAGGAGACTCGCCCACTGGGAAGAAATTTCGGACATACGTGAAACCATTTCAAGTCTCGATGGGACATAGCTAAGCCATTGGTGCCTCGAAAGCTAAAACCTTTCGGGTATTTAGTGTCGATGAGTCTGATTGTAAAAGGATTGGATCAAAATCCCAACGGCATCCTATGGTTCGAAAATGTCAATTAATTTAATCAATACAGTGCGCTAAATCAAAGCGTTCTCGGTCTTTGCCGCTTCTTTTATTGTCCTAATACCAACCAAGGCAGCCAGTGATGGGTAAGAAGGGCGTTGTCAACAGGCTCGCTGTTTATGCAGCCTCGTGAACCATTCGTATTGTTCCAGTGTACCAATATGTACCGATGGGCTGCTTGACTGACTGTCAGATGAGGAAAAATCGATGAACGAAATCCAGGCGAGACGTCGAACAGAAATCAAATAATCGATTTTAAGAGCAGCTCGTTCATAAATGGTTAGAAATATCCTGCGAACTGTCTTGAGAACATCTCATTTAAGAGTGCTGATCGTCGACACCAAAATTGCTGATACAATGGCATAATCAACTGCTTCAAAATGGCTCTTTATTTTGATGATTGGATTGATTCGCCTGTGATTTACGCCACACCAGATCGAAAAATGAAAAGATGCAATACCAGATTACTGATATTATAAACTTGCCAAAGGCAGTCGAAAGTACAGTTCAAGGCGAAGTCAAAGGCTTAATATTTTTTTCATAATACTCGAACCAAATAAGGTAAATATAATGATATACCTGCACAAAAAATGGAATTTGGTGCTAACAATGGCCAAAAACTGTTTTAATGAGCATTCAGTGAGGGTTAGCAAATGTTTAACAACACTGAGTCACGTATTTGCAACTAATCAAATCAACTAAATTAAAATAGGCTTTTGTCAAAACTAAATCGTACTTTTACGTCAGACCACAAGTTTGATAGTCCCACTACGGCAACTACAGCAGGTGTTACCACGTAGGCTTGATTTGAAAATGATTACAAAATACCACATACCCGCATCCCTTTCTTCCGACACATTTTGGTTGGGGTCATTACGAGTTCCCTTAAGACCTGAAAAATACGGTTGGTATTGATGTGGGTTTTCTGTAAGTGCTTGTGTGTAAAAGCACTTAACAAATACCAAATTATTATTATTTTTCTTAAACCTTGAAGTTCTTTTTCACTGTAAATCAAAATATTGCAATTTACACAAATTTAAATTTTGCATTAAAACAGCCAGTTCTTAAAATTATTGACTGCGAACCTAAAAAAGTGCAATAGTTCAAAATCATAGCATTTAATAAGTAAACCCTGTCGATCAAAATTGCAATCAAAACAAGGCCAAGGCGACTGATTTGCAAGTAAATAGCGTGACTATTTGGTGTTTTAACCGAAACAGTTGTACCTGAATTTGTGAAAAGGCTGCTTACCATCGAATTTCGGTGGGTAACTCATAGGTTAAGAAAAGGATAACTTTGAGAAAAAAATGGAGTTAAAGACACAGCTTTGAACAAGGCTGGGGTTATCGCAAATAACCTCAATTGAAAGATTTTAATGTGCTTAAACATGGGAAAAACTTGGGGCAAAGGTGAACTGGTTAAATTAAAATGCGAACGTACCATACGGCACATAATGTAAAAAAATAGAAAATGGAGACAGTATGCCGAAATGATAAAATAATATAAAGGTCGAGTTGGTAGGCATAAAAACGAAACTAAATTCAATTAGAATTAATTTTATGGGAGGAAATACACCAGGTTTTCAGAAGTTATTCAGAAAAAAAACTAATAATTAGTGCACAATTTGGAGAAATTACCGAAATCATCCATTTAAAAAAAGGATAATTGAATATTTCTTCAAAATAGAGCGCTACAAACATGCACGTTTAATTGGTTTGAAGGCATTGAAAATCAAGTAGATCAAATTTCAGTTAGGAAATTTCATTGATTAAAATATAACTGGCACATCGAAAATTTGTAGAATGTGCAGATGAATTTCCTAAACTATACTTAATTTATCAGCTCTAAATCATGGTACACAAATTGACAGAAAAATCACATTTTCCTACGGATTCACTCAGCGTGCAGAAATGGCGGCAGGCTCGTGGGTCGATTGAAAGGGTGAACTACGCCGACTTCGAAAGCAGCCTTTCGGTTCAACCACCAAAACTTTTACGTCATAAAAAGAGCAAATAAAAGTGCGAAAACCCACCAACGGAGGGGTGATTTTGGTCGCTCGAGGAGTTGGGGCGCGCGGCGTCCACGCCACCACGACCGCCGTCGGTCTGAGTGGCTGAAATGGCAAGCAAACGGCGGTGAATTCGAGCAAAGTCACAGCCCCTTTGACAAGCCTGAGGTTCGTGGACATTGTGGCTGGGCTAAGGTGTTTTCACTGTAAACATCTCACACCAGATGAGTCATCCTAACTGCCCAATGGCATAGGGAAACGAGGCAGGTAGGAAGTTGGGTGGATGGCTACATATTGCGAAGATCCGTGACATTGGGTATTGTGAGCAATATATGACAACTTCGCCTTAATGCAAATCCGTGCACTTTTAAATGCACGACGTCGGTCAAATCAAAAAGGTTTTGAAGGCCTGCAATGTGGTTAAAGCAGATTTCACTGGTTTACGCCAGACACCACTGACATGATTGGGTCATTTTAAACTGCTCAAAATCTGAACGCGGAAACAAGTTTCAAGGTAGGCACGATCCCTTTCAAATGCGGTAGCGACGAGAGGACACAAAAGGAATAAAAGGAAATTGGCTTGACCCAGAGACTGGTGCAATGTGTTGGAGTACATGCAACCGGAGGGTGCACAATACACAGTATTTAAATAGTGAAAAATTATAATGTGGGTTTTGTTTTGGGCTTGGCGATGGCAATACGTGATGGACTTGATATGTCAGCATTTTGAACATTATCAAGGGGATTTTAATAAAATCAAGGCACAAATAAGGATAAAAATTTAAAAAATCTCAATCTGTAATTTATTTGCATGCGGGACTTGTTTTGGATCTGGAGAGGGTGTATTAGAAAAATTGCTGACCTTGCATGCACATCCAAGCCAAATTATGTGCAGAAGCAACTTATCACTGACATGCAGTTTCTTAAATATATTGCTATTGAAATCATGTGAGTAGACAAAATAAACGAGACGCACATGAGAGCAAAAATCAAATTTTCCCACATACCACTTAAAATATTGTTCTCGCTGCAAACTAACTTCTTACGTTCCCTTGGCAGGGGTGGGATCGGATTTACATTAACACTTTCCCCAGTTTGTGTGGTCACCACCCTCCCTTCTTCAGACTCAACCAAGGTGCTATCCAATTCCGGTTCCTCTTGAATTACTGGAGAAAACTGGGAGCCCAAGTGCCCCACTTCATCCTTCTCCCTATCGATGCCCGGCAGGAAGGTGTGAAGTGTTGCTGTTTTCTTGGGTTTTTCTTTAAAGAAGCTGGACACGCACTGTTGCCCACCGGGACCGCTCAGTCGCACGAGCACACCATTCGTTGAGCTGACAAAGGAGAGCGAAGACGGCGACAGGCTTCCCTCGGTATTTTGCGTTCTTGGCTGGGGGACACGAGGAGGAACGGCAGCAGGAGCATCCTCGATGGCATCATCGTTCTCAAGGTCGGTTTGAAGGGAAAGAGTACTGTCTGCATTTGCACTGCGGTCATCGATCGAGTCGGGACACGGCGGCACGCGCCAGGGGTCGCGAGGTGCTGGCTTTGCTGCGCTAAGTGAAGCCTCGCTTTTGGAGCGATTCAGGTAAATAATGCTTTCGGATCGCTCAGTGGATGGGAGGAAGTCGGGAGTTTGGGAAGAAGGGTCTAAGGAGAAGACGAACATGCACACACACACACACAGCACATAAAACATGCAAAAGGCAGAGTGCAAATTGAGTGTGCTTTCGCCAACAACAGCAGGCTGCACTGAGGAAAGCGCAGACATTGTGCTGAAACGTGCCTCGAAGTCCAGAAAGTTAGAAAACAAAAAAATCAAGTGCTCTTGAGTGTTGATGACAACATTGGCGGATCGGCAACCTCAAGTAGCTAATTAACCTTTTAAAACAATGTAACAAATTCGGTTGAAACATTACGAAAATTCAACCCCAATTGACCTGATAGGGAGCTAATTATGACGAAGAGATTTCCTGAATAGATTAAGGTGTAATTCAATAGAGCGGGCAATACCACAGGAGGAGCGAATGCGCAAGCCACTTGATTGCTAAAACAATCGACACGGGTAAAACCAATTATGCGAAACACGCATTTGGGCTGGTCATTGATCTACTAGATACGAAGACAAGCGAAACAATAGTAGATTGAGCAGAAACTGACAGGGCATGAATGTGACATATCCTTTCATAATGTGTTCAATTAAACCCATGTGTGAGAAAAAATTCAAATCTAAAAGTTAACTAACAAGAGGGATAGAATTGCCCTGATGAACATTTAATCCGCATATTTTGGGCTTGTCCTACCACACACACATGCACACACACACACACACACACACTTGAAGCCCCATTGTTTGCAACGTTTCAATTCGTCTGCGCTAGTCAGGAAAAGGAGGCCCTTTTGCCAGCGACTTTGCTCCGCCACCACTACTCAAGGCGTTTTGAGAAGAGCAAAAACCGATGGAGAGGTAACGCAAAAACGCCGGAGGTGTTGGCACATCACATTCAAGCGATTGTGATCGCTTGACGATCAACTGAGTTTCCACACGATCCTACTTAACCATGGCAAAGCGCCCCTATGAGGTGTCAGTTTGGAACAGTCGAGAATTGTGGTCCATTCGTTTGGTAGCACTCCAAAGTATGCACCACGCTAGGTTTCCCACTAGACTTGCAAAATGATCTTCAGGAGGAGAACGGTGGCTGTGCGCAGGGACTCATCACACTTGGGCTAGTAGACGTTTATTTCAGTGATTTTATACGTAACGAAATCCTGTGCAGATACACATTTTGAAACTGAATAATGAATACAGCGTTTCAACAAAAAAAGGAACACGACGGCGCCGCAAGAGGTTTTGGGAGTTAACACAGTGCCAAAGCATTCCCGAGTCGTTTAAAGTGGCTGCAGGCCGTCAACTGGCTCGATGAATCGCAGTGTTCTTCACTTATCACTGCTTGCCTACACGCCATGCACCTTCAACATTAAAACTCCCAGATATGATTTCAAGAAGTCATTCAGGCACTGCCATGCTTGCAGGTAGTCTCCACGCTTCTCATGAATTTAAAAGACCTTAAATATCATGATAAGCTACGATGGCGATCGAAAAGACAAAAGTAAATGGACATATAGTTTCAAAAAATAACCCCGAAGCTGCTATTCAAAGTATCGCGAACATTTGTACTTTTATTACCTTATCACTTTGAGCTAACAGATACTATGTCATGTAGACATTACCTTTTAGACACTTCTAAGGGCTTCACAGCTGTTCGTCATCCAGGATTTCTTAGTTTACTTCAGTGAAAAAAGGTGGATCAACGGTTAGCATTTGGATTTCGATTCAGTCCTGTCCCTTTTATCACAACGTGGTGAATTATCCGGTGTTGGCTCGAAAATACTCAAACGTTATTGGCCAACGGATTAGTACGCGCACATCGGATAAACTCACAAGATAAATTTATGACTTCCTAGCCATCCAGATGAGAAGGAGGCTGCTCAGCCACTTTAATTGTTTAATTTAGTGAGACATTGCATATTCAAATGAGGAAAGAGTCCAACCAATGACTGTATTCTTACATCGAATGGCACGTTCAAAATATGCCAATGAAGGCACTTATGGGCTTGCATAGGTTTGAAGATAGAGATGCAAAGAAAACGTTTCTACAGCGGAAAAAGACGCTGAGACCCTTATCAAGGCAGACTCCAGAAGCAAGGGTTTAGCTACCATGAGACATATACTATTAACCAAAGCCATTTGCAAATTTGGTGGCCGAAAAACTTAGGAGTTTTTAAAACAACCATATAAATCCTAATTTTATGTAAGCAAAATCCTTGCACGTCGCGGTCCCACTTTAAAGCATTCAGAAAAGCAACTGTTTCAGGCGACAACTTGCTAAGCTGCTTCAACAAGTATGTCACATCGCCAAATTAGTGCTACTGCTGTTCAGGGGAATCCAAACAAAAGCGGTCTTTTAAGACACATGCATTTTGGTCCTACCGACGCTCATGATGAAAGGATAACGAAATGTGTCCGACTCTTTTACATAGATTAACAGATATGACTGAATACGTCAAGAAAATTTTAGCACTCAAATCCATTGCATTTAGTAAGCATCAAACACGATAACTTTAAGCCTTTGAAAGGAGAAGTTGTAGACTCTGGCTAGGGAGAGGGATCCACACTAGGGTTCTTAAAATATCACAGAAAAAAATTAAGTCATAAGTGGCAATTTCGGTGAATGAAGGTCCTGACATTTCTGTACAAAATACAGCGAGAGAGCCACACACACAGACTTGACGAATACAAAAAAGCACCAATTTTGCCAGCTCGTCTGAAATGTTTAGATCACATAGATTCGTTAAGGCTTTGGGAAAGCATCAACAAAACCGCTGGCACTAGGGCCACTCCAATTTTTTCAGTAGAGGATGATAATAATAGCGAATTAAGAAGTTATTAAATTTCACAGTTCATGCAGTTTCGTTGGTTAGCAACATCTTCACGATGCTGAATGCTCACGATAATCTTCTTACCTTTGTCACTTTGAGGTAAGTAACCCAACGGCGAGGGTGAACTATGGTTTGCCTGATGTCTGGAAGGCAGTGGACATGTATCCTTTTCCACTCTATCTATGAAGGGGTCCGGATTCGGAGTCAAAGCCAAAGTCGAGGAAGCTAAACTGTCATGTATACCGAAATTGTCCCTTTCATTAACCTCGTTTCGACCCTCGCGGTTCGTATCAAAAGATGAATTGACAACCGTTGGCGTAGATGGCTGAAGCATAAATTCTTCCTCATTGTAATAAGGAATGATTCTCCGATGAAAGTAGGAAGAGTTGGGTTCACATTTGGTATAATAATTCCGACTCCCAAAACGACTGAGGAGTTCAGCGTCTCTTGGACGGTCTGTAGTCAGCATCAAACGTGCCCACCCACGATTATCATCAAGACAGTCGCAAACGCGACTGGGTGCAGATCGTGAACGTTGGTGGCCTGGGACGACCGATTCATCTGGTGGTCCTTGAAGTGACAGGCTCACCTATGGGGAATACTTGGTTTAAAAAAATTTATCTCAGAGATGGGTAAACCAAGATCAATGCACCTACTTGCACATCAGCCTTGGATTCATCAGGCTTGAAGGTTTCACATCGCGTCACTCCGATCATTTGTTGGTCCGAAAGTACAAAGGACGAGCGATATTGGCGAGTAATTTGACGGCCTAGAAATGAAACTGAAGCGTTTGATTGGCAGCGGTAAATAAGAGCGTCATCAGAGCTGTCACTTTGGTTCAAACCCCCAATTGTGTAGCCAACAGAGGGTAAAAGGAGTGCGCTACTGCCATTAGAGGAGCGGCCTCCCATCTCAAGGTCATCGGAAAGATCAGGGAGAGAATTAAGAGAAACAGGCCGGATAACAGATGCAGCTGCACCAACATTCCTCCTGGACCGAATTGTCCATGATGTGGTCATTTTGTCTAAAATAGTGAAAGTAACTAAATGCTATTTCTTGAATTCCTTCAAAAAGTCGATAGTAATGGCATAGTTAAAGTCGAATAAATTATTCTTATTAAACAATCTTGCTATGATTGTAAGGAAAGAAGCTGGAACCAAAGCAATATGCACACAACGCCAAGTTTAGTTTCCATCATGTCTTCAATTAAAAGTTAAAAAAATCAAGTGGGCTTATTTGAAAAATTACCAAGAGTAAAGTGAAGCTAGACATGCAGATTGTTCCAGAATGGAAGGTTCAGCACTGTCTATATACCACATGAAATATTACCTATTGTATCCGGAACGCTATAAGGCGATCAATGTTAGCATTATCGACGTTGAGTTGCTTTTCTTGCTAAAACAAGTGTAATCAGACTATATTTATGCTATTTGTGTACCGTGGAAGCAATTACTTTTGATATCGCAGAATTTGCTTGGTCCTTTTAAGAGGATCACGTTACGAGCACAATAGAAAAACAGCAAATGAGGTTTTTATATGTATCGAATTGAAACAACGAACAGATCTAGGCATCGTAAACACTTTTAATCCATCAAACCATGCACCTAGACAAAGATATTTCATGCAATTTAGGCGAGGTAGAGAGCCAATTTGGAGATTTGGTTAATTAAAAGAAAATAAAGCTAGCACGTAATGTCTGTCGTGAATATGGGATCAATAACAAAAATTCGTCAAAACGTAGGGTTGACAACTAAGATAGGTACCAAGTAGGTATGCAACTAACGTTTTATTCAAAACAATTGGAAAACCAAATCATAAAAAAATGATTTTACTCAAAGAAGCGAATTACTTCCCGTACCTCGGGCGAATATTGTCTTGGTGCATTAAAAACGTACTAATAACTATCGCATATAAATCTTGTCCCTTCATATTTGTCCGGTTACAAAGACAGAAAAATTAGTGCAAATGAAGTGACAAATGTAATTTAATAATGACTGACCAAATGACTAATGAAAGGGATGGGCTTGAGTTCTTAAAATCACAACTGGTAGGCCTCCATCTAAAATTGATAATGTAGCAATTTTGACAGAGACTCTAACGGATTAATTTGATTGGAATAATTTTCACGTGTTGGTAGCAATTTAAATTATATTAAGGTGAATGCATAATGTACAATTTATACTTATGATTTCTCGACCGTCTAAAAAGCCATCAATTTCTAAATATATTTGCTAGTATGCTGAATTAAATAACATAGTTACTGTTGTATACAAATGTAAGGACATGATTAGAGCCGATGAACACATAACTCATAACACCATCAAAACCCGATTTAACAAAAATGAATCTACATAACTGTTCTAATAGAACATGAAAAGAATACCACTAAAATTTTCAAAAAAAAAAGATAAAATGAAACTTTTACATGAAATTATTCATTTACTTGGATAGCAACAATTGTCTCAAGATGATTTTTAGAAAAATTAAAAAAGCGATTGTTTAAAATAACACAAAACGGCTTTATACAATTCGTAAAAAAACTATACCTTAGAATAACAACAACAGAAATAAGCACAGGAAAATAAACACTTTACATCCGGGAGTTTGCAAAAAAAGCGCTGTCACGCGAGTACCCAAAGATGGACCAACAAAACAAATTTAGGCCGTTCAAGAAATGACAATAAGAAGCCAACACTGATTCGTCAATAAAAACGTGTCAGTACTGAATAGCAAAAACTTAACAAAAGCCCATACAACTTGTGGAGAATCGTCAACCTTCTACCAATAAAAAGGATTATGACTTTAAAATGAGAGTTAGAAAAAAACAAAATAAATATCGTTATACTTATGAAGATATACCTCGCAAATATTTGTTTTGCATCTCAAAAATGTTAAAATAAGAGGTACATAGCTGAATATTTTCGTTTAGTGTTCAACACAGAATAAATGAATTTACGCAATCAGACCGCCAAAATCAATGCTTCGAAATTTACTAAATATTCATAATAAATAATAGGGTTTAGGAAATACTTTTCCTATTCAAATACAAACCTAAACAGACTAATTGTACGTAATTAAAAAAACACCCTAAACAATTTCATGATTAAATGTTTTAGGACGCTCTATTTCGACCAAAAATCAATCCTAAAAATACCACATAGACACACAAACAAACAAACCTAAAGGTGTATGTATACGGCGTTAATTGACGTCTCTAGCCTTATCCGACGTACAACAGCATGTAAAAAATCCAGATCCATTTATCATGATTGGAAGGGCCAACGACTAATAGAGAATGATTTCTTTCCAGGATAAATTGCAATTGGGTAGGAAACATTGGTTAAGGGGTTCACTGTGGCACCTTGATGGCCTTTTTGCCGGGACGCCAGTTGGCTGGA